CAAACTCCCTCTCTGTCCCTAAATAAGCTTTATAGTAACAATTACAGTCTCTTGATAACTTGTGTTTTTATTGATCATTTGATAAGATAAAATATTCTTATCACGTCTTTTTTTTAACTTTTGATGTAGTTTTGAAATATGTAATTTGTACTTTTTACAAGTTACAAAATAAAATCATTTGATGAGATTTTTTATACCAACTAACGAATGGTTGCTCAAAATCAGTAGGGAGGCAAGAGCTTGAGCATTTAGGGGGGAGAACAAAAAATGAAACAATAGTATTTTTAACATCTAACTCGAAGAGAGGCCATTGACTTCCTACAGTTGTCATGGATCAAATCAATGGTACAAAATAAACAAAAATGTAGTCTAACCCAAAAAACTGAGTGCGACTTTTGGCTACAAGTCAAACTTTAGGCATGAAAATGTACATAAGAAAGTAAATGTGTATTAGGTTTTGAATAATTTAAAAATTTCCTGGCATTCCCCAAGTGAGTTGTATAAATATGGTCACAAGACCATCGACTTAAGACGTCGAATTCTTCGCATCAACTGTCAAAAAAATTAGTTAGAAAATTTGAGACTTTGGGGTGTAAAGGCTTAAAAAGAGTAAAATGAAATGGCCCATTCATTAAATTTTCAGAGAATTCATGACTTGTAAGTTGTAACGTAAGAAGAATCAAGAGATGGCCATCGTAAATATTAGCAACCTCACATGTGATGGCTTGTCATGAACATGGGGCTTCTTCTTCACCAACATCATAGTAAATTAAGGCGCGATGCGCACCTATGCACTAAAGGGCTCTAGCGCCTCGAGGCGCGATGCGCACACATTACGAACACAAGGCGCAAATTGAGACACTAGTAGAATAGTATATCTACATTAGAAATAGTACATATAAAATTTTGGAAAGCATAATAAAGTTTTAGAAATCAACCAAGAATTGAAGTCACATATTGTACCATTAACAAAATAAAAAACCAAAAAGTTCAAAGAACAACAAAAGTCATAAACAAAAAGTGAAGAACATGAAATTGGAGATTCTTCCATGCAAGAACAATGTCTTTGCAGAAATAAATCTGAAAAGTTCACTTAACAAACAACGGTTAAATAAAAAGCAGTTTGTAGATGTGAAAAACATATCTGCTAGACATAGATTAAATTATTTGAAGAAAATATATGTTATGTACATCAAATAATGTCTGAAAAGAAAGAGAACCTTGTATAAAATACATAAAGAAGAAAAAAATATGTTTACTGGGAGGGTTGGAGTCTGCGACCACTGTACTACTTCTCGTTGGTTTGCAACAATGCACACTAAACCCCAAGCAATAGCGTTATCCATGGTGAGGAAAAGGGTTGAAGCAGAAAAGAAAGAGAAGAGAGATTGTCGAAGGGAGATGGTTGTATGCCGTTTGATTTTCTTTTCTTGAGGGTCGTGAAGATAAGCTGAAGCAAAGGGTGAGGCGGAATAAAAAATAATGCTAATAGCTAAACATAATCCTTAAAAAAATTAAGATGATGACTCAGATGTTCAGGATGCGGGCCTTCTAGCACATCACTTAACATCGCATAATGCAATGAGGCGCAGTAATGCGCGCGCCTTAGGAACATCGGGCACATCATGTCTATGATGCACTAACCTTGGCGCAATGCGCCTCAGGCACGCTTCTCACAACTATGACCAGCATTATAGTCAGTCACCATACCAAAATCATAGTCAAGAACACTGGAGTTGAAGTTCACCCAAGAGTACTATCATTGTTGAGGGTAAGTGATTGAAAAAAAGAGAGAGAATAGCTTTGTAGGGTCAGGGGTGTGTGTACACAGACCTTACCCTACATGGATAGTAAAAATGAATTCCCCGACCATTGGGTTTGAAAGGATGAAAGTACCCTTAAAATGACTTTCTAAAAGAGGTTTCACGGATCTTTGTCCACAAAAATGAAAAGTGTAAAAATATCAAATCTATGCACTTGAAGTAGAAACGGAGATAATGAGCGACGGGATGTAGAAATGGTACGATACGTGTTAGGCTAAATGTGGATAACATATGGAGTCATAGTGTAATTTACCCTAATACGATTCTCCTTTTTGGTTGCTGCTAGTATTGCTTAAGTATTTATTCACTTAAAGAAAAAAAATATTTAAGAAGTATTCTCATTGGGTATACTCCACAACATTTTCTATTCTGCCAAAATCAATAATTCGGGATCTTCTATTCTATAATTATAGAAATAAATAGTTGAGTGTTGGGCAAATAGACCTCCCAGCCAAATTATATGATCCCAATGAATCCAAGGAAGTCGGTGCCGAGACACATTTGACAATAATAGGATAGGGACTTTAAGTCATTAAAAGAGGTAGTTTGACATTTCAAGCATAACGCATTGTTGAGCTAACCCTTTCTTTAACAAATCTATGCCTTAGTGAATTGGACCATTTGGACATAGCCAATCCATTCTACAGAAAAAAGGAAAAAGAATAGCAAAAATCATGCCTACATTGACTCCAAGTTTCTGAATCAAATCAATATTGTTCATGAAGCTAAAGATGATGAAAAAATTCTAGCTAAATTGCCGCAGGGTTGCTAGAAGGAGGCTTGTATTAATCAATTTTAGGACTACTATGAGCAATGGAAAATTCAAATCCCTAGAGGTTGACAATCAGATAGATCACTTCACCGCGTGGTAAAGAGCAACTTGATATCAACAGAATTGAACAAGGCAATCGGGGCGGAGGGGGTGTGGAGGTAAAGAGCCAAACCTTCGCTCGAAGGGCGCTTTAGCCCGGAAATGAATGGGTCAGCAGCACCTGGTCCAATATCAACGCCAGGTGGTCCGGACCACGACGTCTGAGAAGCCAGTTCGGCGGCGGCGGAGGCAGAATACCTGGCGGTCCCAGAGGAGTAACTATTACTGCCGTGATTATAGAGCATGGCTCTGCCGATGAAGATGCGCCGGAGCCGGAGCCGTAAATGCGGAAGGTGACGACGACGGCGAATGATGATATCTGGATAGGCAAAGCCTATAAGAGCAACAATGGCGACGTGTCAGCTCGGATCTGGGCCGTGATTGAGTGAGTCTTCGCAGCCGGTAACTCGTTTCGGGCTGTGGGCTTCTCGCCGCGCGGGTGCTTTTCTTTGATCCTTGTCTTGTGGACCGGACTTCTTAGGGCCCAACCCAATAAAAAAATAAGATTATAACAAAAAGATTTAGACTAATTAGATTTTAATATATTCATATGAGAACTAATATGTTTAAGCAAAGAGCACATGCTCGTATAATTATGTCATATTGTCTTTCGTCCTAAAATAGTTCGTTTTAAATAAAAGAATAAGTTAAGAAATGTGATAAATGTTATTGAATTTTTCATTATAATCCCCTTCGAAGTAATGGAATGATAGTAATAAAGGATCACTTCATAGTAGGACTGACAAATCGGTTCGGTCAAGCTCCGATTATTTGATTACGTAAGGTTACAATAAATTTGGATCCTATTATATTTGATAACGAAATACATAGATTTTTTTATGGCCAACGAAAATTTCCATAAAGTTCCATAAAGCATTCCTTGGTATTTTAGTGATCTTTTTATGGAGTACTAAAATTGTATAAAATGAAGTGGAAGGTTAACTTTCATTAGGTTATTTGATTAAAAGAAATTTTAAAAGAGGAAATATAAGAGCAATACAACTTTGTGCATAAGCTTTGTACACTTAATGTATAATAGACATACTGAGAATAATTGTTTAATATTCCCTCCGTCTCAAACTATAATGCATGTTCATTATTCACAGGTCAAACTTCATTCACTTTCTTTTTCTATTTTCGTTAGCAATTTGATGAAATAAAGTACTATTGTCACTATTAGTTTTGAAGATCTTTTGGTGTAGTATTTTAATATGTAATTTTTATTTTTTAACTATATACCATTTGTCATATAAAATGATTTGAAAATAATTTCAGTCAAACATCGTAAACCGAAACAGGCGTTATAAAATGGGACGGAGGAAGTAACTGTTTATGTGATGCATAGACAAATATTATCTTTATGTCTTTGTGATATACTTGGTGTAACTCATATAAAAAGAGTGGTTAAGTTATATTGTTTGATTAGACGAAGGGAGGAGAAATAGAAATATTTATTGAAATTTACCTGCAATTACTAACTTGGCACGAAGTTGTTAACCTGGTCCTTCGTGTGAATGATCTCATTGGCACAGCGTTGCTTTTCAGAATTTAGTTTCTGCTTTAAGTGATAATCATTTTATTTTGATTGACACATCAACTTCTGCTTTTCTTTACCATCATTTTGTACATTGAACACCATTTCAGATATGCAAATATATGATGCTTCTGCTTCCAGCTTTTGTGAAATCACTTTGCCCACAAATTAATTAGTCTCAAACACCTTCACAGTTCTTGATAGGTTACAATGACATCGTTTGATCTATGTAACCAATTCCACTTAGTGGAGGTGGGATAAGACTTGATTGTTGTTGTTGCTAAGTTATAATTACTCTTTTAAAAGATGTTTATTTATTTAACAACTTTTTTATATAATTACTAAAGAAATATATAACAGATTTATTATAACGAAATACATTGAATAGAATAAATATTGCTTAATTCAGTAAAAAAGTATTTTAAAATATTTATAAAAGCAAAAAATGACTAAATGCAGGGAGCTTGCTTGATTTTTACTTTCATAAATTGGAAGATTTTTTCTTTTAAATGGTGAGTGCTTTTTTGGTACAGCTTGGAATCATATCAATTTTGTGGACTTTTTCACATTAATTTTTTTTAATTTTTTTATTAAAAAAAAAAATACTTATTTAAGTAGTAGAGTCAGTTACCCCAAAAATATTCCCATTCCTCTTTGTCGGTTACCTTTTTATTCATTTTTTTCTTGGGTCGAAGGGCAAATGTTGGGTAGAGGTAGGTTAGGGAAAGCGACACAGGGCAGTTTTAGAGGAGATGATTAATGACAGACGATAGATCTCTCTCCCATCTCTACCCGCCATGGTTGAATTTTCTCTGCACCCAAAGTTTCCAAGAAACCCGGCATGCATCAAGTCTGTGCACAATGTGCAGTTCAGCTATGGAAGCTAATGAAGAAGAAGAAGTTACTTATACTACCAATACTAGGTATTACTAACTACTCAGATGTATGCTTTTCAAGAACTATTGCTTCTACCTGAATATCCCAATAAGAAGAGAACTGGTAACTTTTGTTGATTTTATTCAGCATAATATTGATAAAGATGACACCTTTTTCCAGTTTTCTTGAACCAAATTGCCCGTCACCGTCCTAAACTAGTAAAATCCTTTTCTTTTCCCAGCAAAGAAGACAACTTTTTTTGTAAAAAAATAATTAATTAGGATGTGGCTGAGAATGGAAGGCTTTGTGCAGATGGCGCAGTGAGTCTTCTTGCTCTCACCAGAAGAAGAATTTCAGATGCCATGGCTGAGAAAACAGGGAATGAATGGACAGCTTTGGCGCACATAATAAAAGCAGTGATAGGGTCAGGTGTTCTTTCCTTGGCATGGAGCTTGTCAAAGCTGGGATGGATCGCCGGTCCGATAACAATGCTGTGTTTTGTTGCGGTCACTCTCACTGGTGCTCTTCTTCTCTCCAACTGCCACCGATCCACTGATTCTGACCTCCACACCCATGGCTCTTATCTTGATGCTGTCCGCTCGATCATAGGTAAAAACACAGACTTCTGCAAAACCATTAGATCCCATTTCGTAAAATGTTGCTTTGGTTCTATAGTTTATTGCATTTCTTGATGATTTCATATTCTTCTTTGTGCTTGCTTGGACTGATTGTTCTTTTTTTAAGTAATCTGAATGAATATTTAGAGAATTTGTTCATTTGTTGAACGAATGAAAGATTTTACTGGGATTGTTGTTTGTTTTGTGTGTGGGGCAGGAAATAGAAGCGCCTGGTTTTGCGGCATCATTGTTGGGATCAATTTCATCAAGCTTGGAATTGTGTACACAATCACTTCTGCTATTAGCATCTGGTCTGTAAACAATTGAGAATGATTCTTCTCCTTTGGACTATTATATATTCTGCCATTGGATGAAGAGCTTCTTAATTGCAGAGCAATTCAGAAAGCAAACTGCTTTCATTATGAAGGCCATGAGGCTACTTGTGGGTATTCAAACACAAAATATATGATTATATTTGGATCAATCCAAGCACTAGTGTCTCAAATTCCAGACTTTCGCAACACGCAATGGCTCTCCATTGTTGCTGCAGTCATGTCTTTCACATATTCATTCATTGGATCAGGACTCAGCTTAGCTAAAGTAATAGGTAGTAATTAACTGCACTTTGAAATACTTTATTGTTGATGGTGTTGATCCAAACATACCCTAAGAATCCACTTCATGAAATGGAATTTGCAGATAATTGGTTATCATCCTATTTGCCTTTGTTGGTTCCATCCGAGGATTGATCCTTGCCAGGCTCAGCTAGGAGGTCACTACTTGGTCACATCTACTTCCCAGTAAGAGTAAAGCCTGCGTGCAGACATCCTCCAATCGTATTTTTCTGGAATTTTACTGGGTTTGTTGCTATTGTAGTTACACATTTACGCTTTTCATTGTGCGACATTGTGTTGACTATAAATGTAATGCATAGTTTTCTTAACGTGTAATTCCGATTTTGCTTTCGTTGAACATACATAGCATGAGTTTTTTTCTTTAGTGAACTGCTGTAACATATAATTGGCTAAAAACTCATATTACATTTTATAATACATTGTATGAGGTTGTGTAACTTTTGGCTAGGCCATTGGACTGAAATTGCAATGTTCTTATGATTATTGTTGCGAGTTTTGTTTTGTTTGTTTTTTTGGGGGAAATTAAGGTTGGTGGCAGATGTGAAGAGAGTGTTGTTCAAAAGGGTGAGTAAAATTCAAACCTGACAGTCTTGGAGGAAAACTTCGTAATGCAGATTGAATAACATTTGTTTTTTTAGGAGGCTCTAATGTCACTCCAACCTAACATACCCCATTCACATTTAACTCACATTAATTTTGTGATATATTAAGAGTCAAATGAATGTAGATATGACGTATGTCTCTTTTCATTCAACTTTTTTAGGATTTAACTTTATATAATTTATCAACAAGAACAAAGAGTCAATGTTTTTGAACATGTGACCTCCTATTTGGAAGAGCTACGGGCACACAATGACACCACTAAACCACAAGACCTCTGGCATTCAACTTTTGATATAACACAAAAGTTGGATGTAGTAGAGTACCTACCTCGTTTTGAAATCATCTTCTAACTTGGATGTCTCAAAATAAAATTTTCATTCTTTTTTAGGATAAAAATTATTCTCGAGATAACTTGGATTTATTGTATAGAAATTAAACTATATGTCAGAAACAATTTCTGTTACCTGCCTCTTTCAAACAAAGGTAAGGTCCCAAACCAGTCTTGTAGGGTATGTTCTGTACGGTTTGGTCCCATAAGAACTATTACTACAATTATAAATTTATAATGACAATGATGGTGTGAGATCCACTCGTGCAAGAACCTTAACAGTCGAAACCCAGCACAAAGACCACATTGGTCAGCCACCCATTTCTCTCTGTTAACTGCAAATAGTCAAACTATAAACACACACATATGAGAGAGATAGAGATTTTGACCAGGGGTGTCTTGTGAGTGAGCTACCAAACTAATTTCACACGCCCAAACAGAGTTTGAATTTTATAATGTATTCATGCAGAACTTCAACTTTTGATAACTCCATTCTTTGACATAAAATGTGTAAAATGTGAGCAAACAAATATTAATTTTTCTTTTAAAAAGAATGCTCACTTGTAGAGATACTCTCACTATTGTTTTCACTAAAAAGTGCATACCTGTTATAGATGGTCGGTGATAGCGGCACAGCTGCCAGGGCGAACAGACAACGATGTGAAGAATCACTGGAACACAAAGCTGAGAAAGAAGCTGTCGGGGATGGGAATCGACCCTGTGACGCACAAGCCCTTTTCTCACCTGATAACAGAGATTGCCAACACGCTAGCACCACCGCAAGTCCATCATCTGGCGGAGGCGGAACTGGGTGCTTCAAGGATGAGATGTTGCATCTTCTAACCAAGAAGCGCATCGGGTTCCAGCTCCACCCGGCCACAGCCGCCCCTCCGGTCAAGCACGAAGACAAAGACAAAACCATTGATAAGATCAAATATGGGCTGTCGATGGCAATAAAGGAGCCGGCCTCGAATTACAAGCCTTGGGATCTCACCGGAGGCGAGACTTCCCTCACGATGCCGGAGGCCGGCGGTGGTTTTTTGGCGACCGCCGATCATCACCACGGGGGATTCGACCAGTATGGCGGTCTTCTCATGCAAGACGCCAAGGAGGGGTCGCCGTGGAACCAGAGCATGTGCACGGGAAGCACGTGCACGCCGGGGGGACATCATATGCGGCTGCCGGAGAAAGCTTTGGACGATGAAAATGGAGTGGGTTCGAATGGCGGAAAGGGGGAGGCAACAGAAGCGCCGCCGCCTGGAATTTTCCACTCTGACTGTGTGTTGTGGGATATTTCTTCTGAAGATCTCATGAACCCGATGGTTTGAAGAGTGGGATCAGATCAAAAAATAAGCAATTCTTGTAGCAATTTATTTGCATTTCTTCAGAAATATCATATTTTCAAATGCTCACTCAATAAATATAAGTTTTCAAATGGATGGAGAAATATATGTCCTTACCCTCCTGAGCATCAAATATTAAAAATAAAATATATTTTCCCTAACATTTTTGTAATTTTCTATAACATTAGACCAAGATAAATCTAACGAAAGCAATGTAATTTTATTTAATTAATAGTGAAAATTTATTCTGTTTGACTGAAAATGTCAAACTGAACAAGTACACTAGGATGGATGAAGTACTATATATGCTTCGATGTTATGAGCTTTGAACTAAAAAGGTACAAGGAGGATGTATCTTGGATCTTAAATTCTATTCATAGTAATTCTACATGTAAGAAGAAACGAAGAGCAGTTATGACTTGCCTCCTAAACGATCCATTTGTTTATTATATGATGATGGAGAGGTGTGGTGTAGTGTCACTACTGTGGATCTTATCATTCGAGAGCGTCTTTGATTTGTCCATGGAGAACTTGGACTTTGGCTTACAAAATGAGCACAAAGAAGCATTCTCGAGCTAGACATTATTTCCTCCTCCTTCTTCATCAGTACCATCAATGCCCACCCATCGGGTGAAAGCAAATAGAAATTCTTTGAAGCTCACCATTCCATTTTTGTCCCAATCCATCTCTTCTGCAAACCAGGAAGCATTTTTAGTAACTGTGAAACATATTATATACGAAAACAATAATAACAACCCAATATAATTCTAACGCCAATGCGTCAATCTTAGTCCTGTAAAACAAGAGAGGTTGTATTTGTCAAACTTTAAATGCATTTTTGCCTTTAATACCACAAACTTCATAGAAAGAAAGAAGAGATGTGTAATGTGTCATTTATGATTTTGCCGTCCATTATGTGCCTCAAGTTAAAACATTTTAAATAGTCACTCATTTAGCTCCATTGGCAATGGGCGGTAAAAACACATTATATAGTAAAGTAAAACAAACAAATATATAAGGGAAGCTAGTGGGGAGCACCAAATCTTTTCATGGCAATCCGGCTAGAAGATCGTTCACCATAGGTGCTTTCATTTATTGCCTGAACCATCTCATCCTTGCTCACGCAACCGTCCTTGTTCTTGTCCAAGAACACAAAAGCGTCTACCAATGTCTCAAATGCCGACTCGAGATTTGGCATGTCGACCCTTGATTTCTAAACACGAGTCAAGAATCAAATTTTTTAAATGTAGTACAAGTAAAATACCATAATTTTTTTATAAATACGGGGAGGGGGGGGGGGGTCGTTCTGTGGATACGCCAAGAAGTGCAGGACTGTCCTTGAGGAGGTAAACAAGGCAAAGAAGAACAATGAATTCATGGAATTCCATTCCCATATCATTATTAATATCACATGCTTCAAACAAGTCGTCTATTTCTTCATCACTAAAACTTATCTCCAGCTTACGAAAGCAGTGCTTCAACTCTTTGTGATCTATAGCTTCGTTTTCATCCTTGTCTATGCACCCAAAAAAGTATCAAAACAAATATCTTGTCAGAAACAGTAAATGCTGCTTAACATATTTATATTCCTTCTCTGAAAGGTACGGAGTATTATGCAATGAATAGAAATAAGCAGATTTGTACCGAAATCATGAAATGTCGCTTTGCATTTCCGCAGGCTCTCATCAATTTTGGGAAACTTCAAGACTATAGTATTAAAAGACTTGATGGAGCTACCGTCCCTTGCTTTTCGCTGCATTGCCTCAACTACTCTGGCTTCAAGTTTTGTCTGGGACACGTAGGCCCTTGGAGATTCATCCTTACCAATTACACCTCCCATTCTTCATTGCCAGACATAAACACATATTCAAACAATGGTAATGACCAAAATGTAGCAAACAAGGTAACTAAAGAAAATTTGACTAATGCAAAAGCAACAACAGATCAAACTTAAACCCACATTCTAATTGTCATTATGAAGTCATGTCACATCAAGAATTGCATTTCAGCATTTGTTATCTCCGTGGGTGTATTTAATAATTTCAATTGACACTTCATTATGACCGGGCAGACCAGTTAGATACACTTGATGCGTGGATACTCAAGCCGTTGTAATATCACATGGAATACATTGTGGTGTGAGCCACAAAAAAACGGAGCAAATAAAACAAAATCAAAATATTCTTAATCTTTACTCGAGCTGGGGGGGGGGGGGGGGGTCNGGTCTACGTACACACACCCTCCACTTTGCTGTTTATCTCGAATATTCATAAAATCCATTTTATTTTATTTTTTAAAAAAATACTCCGTATTTCTATTGTAACCCAGTGTCCATTGCCAATGGAGCTAAGGGAGTTAATAAACTTTGATTAATGGATTAAATCAAAATAACACATTGAACTTCATTTCCCTAAAACCTAAGTTGCACCGAGAAGGGGCACAGACGAGGTCTGAAGCGTGAAATGCCAATTTTTTTCATAATTTATAATGGATTTGGGTGTTGGGATGCTCCCAAGTACCCAACCAGGGACGTTTCAGCAACGGGAAGCGACACCTATTTGAAGAATCCGTGAAACATAGCCTAAAACTTTCTATAAACTTTTGGCAGTAAATTATGCAACGCATCAACCGATTCAAGGTAAGATTGCGTACACTTTGATGCTATTCTCCAACAGAGTTGTGATTATATCAAACAAGACCATGTCACCCTCTCGCCATTCCCCAGTAGTATGACATTATTAGCCTTGGACCAAGCTCTAGTGCATTGAATTTATTTTGTGCACCTCTTAATAAAAAAGACCAGTATGAAATTGGGTGAGCAGCAGGGGCGAATTTAGTTCAATGGAGTAGGGGGCAAATGCCCCCAACTAGTTTTTTTGTAATAAGGTAAAAAAGGAAAAAATTAAATTTTTTATGTATATATGCCTCCAACAAAAACTAATGTGACCCCACCTAATTATACTAAATTTAAAATTTTTTGTTAGTTTTTTTGGTAAAGTGTGTTTTATTGCATATAATTAATTTTTTATAAAATAAAATTTCACATAACCTACTAAAGATGTTTTACATTCAATAAATGTTTGAAAATAAAATTCATTAATTTTTTTCATTCCAAATAGTCTACCAAAAAATTGGGGCGCCACCCTTGGATGATAATGACTCCATCTAACTGAATTTCTGGATCTGCCACTGGTGAGCAGGTATATATATATATATATATTGATCCAAGAATGAATATGATACTGTAGGGTTTGGACCAAAATTTAACAGAATTGTTAAGAACACCACCTAAAATGCATCATATTAAATGGAGGAATTGGATGAACACTTACATATTGATCGAATATTTGTTTAAAAAAACACTAAAAACAATAGAACATGACAATCTGGGGATCATTCATAAATTAAAAAACTAAATTAATCTCGTTCTACAACATAGGATGATCACAGAGCGTTAATAGATTTCACTGACCTCAGCTGAACCAGAGAGGCAGAAGAGAATTAAAGCCCCGGCCTGGTTTCTCCATGAAAAGCTTTTACTTCTTTGCAGGCCGAAATGGAACCGAGATCGGAGAAGATTTTTTGCCGAGAAGAACTCGTAAATAAATAAATGGGTATAAAATACGAAATTAAAAGCTGAGAATGTCTGGGGAAGAAGAAGAAGAGAAACAAAGAGAAGGTGGTGGAGAAATAAAAGATGGACGGACGGGTAATTGGATTTGGGTGCATGTGATGTGATGATGATGTGGTGCCCCCCGTGCCCATTACCAATTCCATTTTTTTACACCATGCCACTAACTTCCACTCAGATCATGGTATTACATGGTCATTCTACCTATTTTTCATTCCATGTGCAAGGCATGACTCTCTCATTTTTTATTTTTTTAATATTTTTAATATTTGTAATTTTTGAAAAAAATATTTTTTAAAAGAAGTAAACATATTTTAATAATAAAATAAATTTTTAAAATAATTTTTTATAATTAAAAATCATTAAAAAGTGAAAAAATAGACAAAAACAACGACTTGCCACTGTATGCTACGACACTCTACTCATTTGCCACACAGTGACTGGGTTACGTTTTATTGGTTGAAATAATCCATGTCACCGTGCGGCATTTAATTTTTGCATTGTCATTGTCAATGCTCTTACCCTGAAGTAGTGTACTGCCAGGGTACGGAGGGGGCGGGAGGGGGGCTGGGGTGGGGGTTTAGGGGAGTATTAGGAGGAATCGTTGTTTTTACAAATAAAACATAATCTAAACGAACTAGTGTAAGCAAATGACATCATTAATAACATTTAAGACTTACAGTTTAAAAAATATACGGAGTATTTACCCACATTAAAAAAAATCAAACCATGCCTAAAGGCAGGTGACATTTATTTACTCCACCGCGCAGTCGCCCACGCGCCCCACTATAAAAAGTCACCCAGCCTTCGTCCATCTTTCAGTCACGCTTTCGGCCTCCTGCAGAGCTTCCCAATAGATTTTACTCGAAAAGCTTCTAGGGTTCGTCCGTTCTATCCCTTTTTCTCCTATCGTTTTTTGTTTTTTTTTTATTCTTCTTATTACTTCCGCATCTTGTTCTCGTACCGATCGTTCGTTCAACAATAGAAAAGTAGCAATTTTGTTTGTTTATGCATACGAGATAACATTTCTAGTTATGGATAGTTTCGACATTTGTTGCTCGGTCGCTTTCAATCTGCTCTGAATATTATGATTATTTGTTTGCCTGCATGTGTTTATTTGTTTATAATACTTTAAAGGGCCAGATGTTCAGCTCTGAATTTGAGATTTTGGGGAGGAAATGAGGAATGAGTAGATTTACGGTTTTGGGAAGGGTTTGAGTAATGTAGAAGGATCTACGCTCTATATGTTATGCAATGTGATTTTAAAGGAAATATGTGTTGGAATTTCACTCGATCTTTGCATGGGGTATGTAGTGGATCACTAGAACCTCAGGTTTTAGGGGTTTTCGCCTTTTGGGTATGGATTATGCGTGTTTACATGAGTACCTTACTTAAAAAAAGAAGAAGAGAGTATTGTAGTTCTGGTTTTGAGATGTTATGAGAAGGTTAATCTGTGTGAAACTACTCTGCAAGCTTCTATGCAAGACTGCCAGTACCTCAATATAGTTGCTTGTGCATTAACTTATTAAAATGTCACTCTTATGGTGGGTTGGATCTAATTTATAGGGCTTGGTGGGCGTAGAAACTAGAAACATAAAGTGCATTCGCATAGAGGTCTTCTGACTTTTATAGTTTTGTTGTTTAACATTTTGTATTATTCTATGTATCTGCTTAAATTTTGTACAAAGACTGTTCATTTTTCATCTTGTGTTCACTTGGTTTTATTTGTATTAACTATTAATGAATATTCATGGTGCTTTTTACACCACCAGCTATGGCTTCAAAGAGGATTCAGAAGGAACTAAAAGATCTGCAGAAGGACCCGCCAACTTCCTGCAGCGCTGGTTTGTTATCTTGTCATCTGTGGTGCTATTTGTTTTAGCGCTTTATAATTTATGTGCTTCACAGTTTCGTTTTGATTCCGATACTTCATATTTTCTCCGTTTTGTTTGTTTCTCTATGGATCATAATAACTTGCAAAGTAGTCTAATACTGTATTTAGTATTCATTAGGTTATGATCTTGTTGGTATATCTTTTGTGTTGGACCATTATATGGTATTTTGTTTTGACCTTTAATTGTGTGTATAGGTGGGGTAAAGTTATACAAACCTCATCAATCAGGGGTATTGTCTAGCAATTGATGTGTTATTCTTCTGTAGCATATCTGAGCATATAGTATGAGCATTGTTTTATTAGGCAGGGTTGATGAATGTTCTTTTTCTGCAATTTCATACAAGAATATTGGTTGGGAAGTTTGAGTGTATTGGTTAATTATTTTATTTAACAAAATGTTGGATTTTGTAACCATGACTGGCTTCTTTAAGGGCCTGTTGGCGAAGATATGTTCCACTGGCAAGCTACTATTATGGGTCCAGTTGACAGTCCATTTGCAGGAGGAATATTTCAAATTACTATTCACTATCCACCAGATTATCCCTTCAAGCCACCCAAGGTAGACGTAATGTAATTTAAGTGGAAGTTCTGTTTGATTCTAGTCTTTTTGTAATCCTGTCCTTAGTTAGCTTCAGTATGGATTTCAAAATTTTATGTGTTTTGTGTTTTGATATTTTAATTTACTGTTGATGCATACTTTTATCACCCGGATTATCCTTTTATGCATATTGTAGCTGTTTCAGGCTCAATGACTCCACTCTGCTAGAGTCTTAGCCTATTAGGTGAGATTGAGTCATGAACGATTTTAAAGTTTGAGTGAATCTTTAATTGTATTTAGACATTCATACTGCATTTCTTCTCTCTTTGGGCTTAAGTTGGTTTAAACACACATAGGCAGAGAATTGTTAGAATATGCCTCCTGAAGTGATAATTTTTTGTGTTTTTGCATAGTTGTATGAGCATGCATTGGTTTTGGCCTTTACAGTTGAAAAGAGTAAAATTGTTCATCATTCATGTATCCATCATTTCTCTTGTTGGAGATATTTGACCCATTTTAATGGTTTGGTATGAAAGAAATGAGAGCCTCTCCATTTTATCTCTTCTTTTCTATTTCTATTTTTCCTATTTGTATCCTAGTTTCTCACACAACTTTCAAACTGATGGTACTTTGTCTTTTTAGACAATCCATACACTTCTTTCTCCTCTATTTCTTTCCTACCAAATAATAAATAAATTCTAGCCTTTCTCAGATACAGAGTAATTCTTTTTCTCTGCACTCTTCTTACTTTTTTTTCTCTGTTTATCCTCCACACCAAATGCTTAGATTTTGCATTATACCTAGTTTGCCTGCCATATCTGGGATTAACTTATTCTTTTTAGGGAACGCCAACCAACCCGATCATATGCTTCTGATCCCATCATCTCTGTTGTAGGTCTGCTTCAAAACCAAAGTCTACCATCCAAACATCAACAGCAATGGCAGCATTTGTCTCGACATCCTCAAAGAGCAATGGAGTCCGGCACTTACCATATCAAAGGTAATTGATTCAGTCATGTCATTACCAAACAAGTTTATTAGTTTAGTCTCCATTTTAAGAATAACAACAATCTGTAATGGCGTGTAATAATGATTTTGGCAGGTGCTGCTCTCGATCTGCTCCCTCCTCACTGATCCAAACCCGGACGATCCGTTAGTGCCTGAGATTGCTGAGATGTACAAGAGGGACCGAGCCAAGTACGAGGCTACTGCTAGAGCTTGGACCCAGAAATATGCCATGGGTTGAGCTTCGGCCGCTTGCTGTCTAAGTAGTCCTATGTCATTAATAAGTGTAATTACAAAACATCTTAACATTGGGGTTTTTAACTTTTAATCTATTTTGACTGGTGTTTATCTATTATGGATATCAATGAATGAATGAATGGAAATAGTCTTTTTACTTTCAAATAGGAATGTCTGCCATATATATATACCCTCCCCATTCTCCAGGCTCTGCTCCTGTGGGGTTCAATTGGGCTTATTTCTGTTGGATTGTATTGGGCTTATTCTTGTTTTTCAATTCTTATTTAAACAGAGAAGCCAGAAATATCATTATTTTTAAGTATATTTTTAAACAAATGCTCCCTCTATGTAAAAATACTATTCTAGCTCCAAATTTTTTTTTGAAGCCGTTCAAAAGAGAATGCTTCGACTTTTGATAAGGGCAATAAAGAATGGTCATGCTTGGCATGACACTCTTATGCACACGAGACAAATATCACTTCACTTTTTTGTCTCAAATAAAATTGCATGTTATTATTCATATGGTTAAATTTTATTAATTTTGTATCCTTATTTTTGTTACTAATTTGATAAATAACACAGTTTAATTTTGTATCCTTAATTTTGTATCCTTATTTTTGTTCTCTCTTGCAGAATTTTTTATGCAGTTTTTAATGCTCGTACGTGAATTTTGTTTTTCAGTCGTGTTCCAATTCTTAAATAAGTTGTATTGAAAATTTAGTCAAACATCGCAAATTTAAACAAACGATTGAAATTGAAACGTAATATCTATTCTTACAACTATCATAACCCACATACTTAAACATTACATTTAGAGAAGATTGAAATTGAAACGTAATATCTATTCTTACAACTATCATAACCCACATACTTACACATTACATTTAGAGAAGAACTAAACTTACATCACTAATCTACTCGGACTAAACTACTAATCTACACTCATTTATATTTTCAAAAGTGCTAGGAGTAGACTAGAATGTGTACCCAAGTGTACCCCAAATCATCTCCACCATAAAATTAAGTGTTGACATAAAAAAAATAAAAAATAATGTATGGTTAGAATGTATGGTGTACAAATAGGGTATACCATATGGTGTACCTCTAGTATTACTCTTATATTTTTACACTCCTTGTTAGAGGTGTACGAATTGCCGATTGGAGGGGTAAACCTGACTAGAAGAATCGATTCTAAAATATACTTCCTCTGTCCCAAAAAGATTTACACCTTTCAAAAAAATTGCGTCCCACAATCTCTTACCCATTTCTATTAAAAAACCACTTTTACCCCTTACTTTTTTAAACCCTGTCTATCACTTCATACCTTTTTCCTAATAATCTACACATCACATCCTACTTTTACTCATCACATCAAGGGTATTTTTGGAAAGTCAACACAAAATTATCACTCCTTTAATTTCAACTTTAGTCAAAACGTGTAAATCTTTTTGGGACGGAGGTAGTATCAGATATATTCTGACTAGTCTGGGTCTATATCCTTAAGTTTGATACCGATAAAGTATTGTTGATGGGGGGTAATCTTATACCTCGGAGTACAATTTTATTGGTGTATTTAAATAGAGCAACTACGATGCTTAGATCATAAAATTGATTGTTGCTACCTTTCATGATCTCCCGGTAAACCTTCATAGTCCATGCCGTTTTCAACGCACTCCCGCGTCGCTACCAATTTCATTGCACCCAATTTTGTTGACTTTCGAATCAAATTTTAGACCTAAATTTGATGTAATAAATTAAAGTTGGCGGAATTGCAGCGCACGTCAAAGACCGGGTGGGCTAGGGAATTTACCGGAAGATTAGGGGAGGTAGGAAGAATGAATTGGTTAACTTACCCCTCGTCAATATAGTTTCATTTCGGTCCAAAACGGAAATATCTAGGTTAGACCAGTAGGATCTTATTAATAATGACAACTGATTTTTTAAGATAATTGTTCATTTCATTACGTGGGTTTTTTAAGATAATTGTTCATTTCATTACGTGGGTTTTTTTGAGATTAGTATCATTATGTGTTTTTCTTAATTAATAACTTAGCTGAAAAATGAAAATTGCACTCACATGCAACTCCATTATTATTTCTGTATTTTTTTCCTTCTATTTCTCGATTGGGAATATGAATAGTACTAACACGGACTGAATCGGAATAATTTAGTTCAACCAGTTCAGACCAAGGTTAACCAAATCCGGATCATTCCAGTATGATTCTCAACCAATATAACCCTACCTTACTCCTTGTATCACTTATCTTGATTATTTTTTTGTATTAAGGTTATTCTCTTCCGGGTTGAAATTTTTAGCTTCTTCTAGTTCCTTTTTTTTTCAAATTCTTTCCAATTTCTTACAACCCCTTTCAATTTTTTTCTAACAATGACTTTAAAAAAAGTATTGTTGGGAAAGCAAGAACACAAATGAATGTGTAGTGCCCAAGATCAACATCTTTCCCTCTTGAATGAATCTATGAGGAGCAACAAACAAACACACCAAAGAACACCAAGCAACAAGATAATCCAAACACGAAAATAAAACGATATGAGGCACGAGATTTTAACGTGGAAAACCCTTTCAATGTGAAAGAGTAAAAACCACGAGACCCTTCGGTCCAACCAACTCCACTACCACCAAATTGAGAGTACAAATGCACAATATAACAGCACCACAATGATATCTAGCCCTTAACAACACTACGAAGGCACTAGAATCAAAATAGATGAACAAAAGTGCAAGAAATCACCAAAAAACAGCAGCTGGTGCGAAGCTCATAACTTGAGATTGAACCGTTGAAATTCGATCTCCACCGTTCAGATTGAAGCTCCACGAGTCCTTAGACTCCTCCAAAAATTTCAGCTCGATCGGACAAGATTTGGACCTCCGATCGACCAAAAAACCAGGTCTGCGTTTTGAAGAAAATGGCAGCGGCTATCTCCCTTCTTGCGGCTGTTTTTCTCCCTTTTTTTTATGCGTGAGTGGTGTGTAATATATGCAGCTGCCAAACTTTTACTCTCAATATATGTGGACACAAATGTATTGAGGACTTATCCTCAAAAAATATTTGGGCCTTTTAGTTAAAGATGACACATAGTTGGGAGCCCAAACCCAACAAATCTCCCCCCTCCCGACTATGTGGAGGTGGTTGCCAAACCGGAAATTAAACAGCAAGTTTCAAACTTCCCCTTTGGCAAAGCCTTCGTCATCATATCAGAACCATTATCATCTGTGTGAATCTTTTCAAACTCCAATAACTTGAGATCAAGCACATCTCGAATCCAATGATAACGTACATCAATATGTTTCGATTTGCCATGGAAAGTAGGATTTTTGCTAAGATGTATAGCACTCTGACTGTCACAATATAAGACATACCTCTTCTGAATAACGCCAAGTTCACGAAGATATTTCTTCATCCAAAGCAGCTCTTTACAAGCTTCTGTAGCTGCAATGAACTCGGCCTCTGTTGTGGACAACGCAACACATTTCTGAAGCTTAGATTGCCATGAAACA